CGCTGTCATAACAAATAATAATAATAACAACAATAAGAAGTGGCAATCTTTAAGCAGACCGAGTATCGAGAGCGAAATAGCAATAACAACTCACAAGTCGACTAGGAAGTTATGCGTAAGGGAAGATTTATTGGGTATCGTAACAGGCGACACGCGTAACATCCGCACCGGACGTGTACTCCTCGGCGCCGCCGATTAAGCAAACAAACGTCGTTTGGCTGGCTGGTGTCGGGGCTGCTTTCGCCACGTAATGACGAAGGGCCCGGGGCAGCGAGGGCCCCTACATCCAGGGAAACGATCGCAGCCCGCCGATCTCGGCTCTGCAAGACCATTATTTGTCCGCCCTCCGAGTTCTTTGGCGATTGCGGGAGGGTGAGGTGGTAGGGGCGGAGAGGGGAGGGGGATACGGGACTGGGGTGACGAGCCCCGTCCTCATCGCCCTCCCCTGCCCGCTATCACTCGGACTCGCTAGTGTCGTTGCTGCTGCACTCGTCCTCGCTGATCCACGTGTCCTCGATCTTGCAGACGAGGCCCGGCGGCTTGGCGTTAATCAGTCGGTACATACCGTCCGGCAACTTCTCGATCTTGCCAAAGACGATGCCCGCACGCAGCACCTGGTGCACGAAAGCCGAGGCCGTCGTCACGGGCATCCTCAAGCGACGCGCCACGTAGCGCACGATGTTCGCGAAGGTCACGCCTTTGTAAACGGAGACCGGCTGCTTGGTCAGCACTGGCCAGACATTCTTATCCTCGAACCCCGTCTTCTTCGCGCGATCCATCCTCGCTGCCTGACGCCGCGGCATCCTCTAAAAGATGAAGTTATTATTTCCGAGACGTGATTGCACGTTACCCCCGCAATAACAATGTGCCACGGGAGTGTATGCGTGTGGCGGGAAAGGGACGGTGGAGGAGGGTTGGGACCGGGCGGGGTGGGGGGAGTGGGGTGAGACGAGGAGCCGAAAAACGGGGTGGAGGCGGGAGAACGCAAGCGCAGCTGGAAGCTACGGTCTCTAATTGGATCACGCACACGCTCTCGCTCCCAGGGGGTTAAACGGGGACAATGAACGAAGGCGATGGCGGGGACCCGGCGCCGTGCACGCCAAGAGAATGATGTGCTACGATGGGTAGGGTGGTTGGGCGGTGAGTGGGGTGGCGGGGCGGTGAGGGAGAGCGACCGAGGGGAGTAATGGTAAAGGGGTGGCGTAAACTGGTCGGGGGTGGGGTGGGGAGGTGGAGTGGGAA